TAATCGATTATCACATGTTGTAATCGATTACCATACCGACTTCAATTGAAGAAGTCGTGTCTCCCCTACACGACTTCACACTCTTTATATGCATAGTGTTGAAGTCGTGCACCCCAAAATCGACTTCTGGATATGGTAATCGTTTGGGCCCACGACTTCTTATTTTTGTAATTTTGGTTGAATTTGCCCATTTCTATGCCTACTTTTGGTGAAAAAACCCTAATATGATCGATGATGTTACATGAATGAAGAGTTTTGTGTTGCTTTAAATTGAAAGGTACTTGGAGTTGAAGGGCACACTTGTTTATCGGAACGTTGCCTACAATACAAACGTTGTTCGTTGTTGTTGTTTGTTTCCAGATAAACACGTGACTATCTATCGTTCCAACTCTCAGAACTTCAACGGAACCAAACTCCCAACCTATGGCAGAGCTCCAAACCAAGGCTGAACCAGCTTCTGTTCCGGCTCCGGCTGCGGTGGAACCCCAGCCTCCGCTGGCTGAGGCGCCGACACTTGACGCTGCTGACAAGAAAGCGGTGGTGGCGGCGGCGGCGCCTGCTCCGCCAGCGGAAACCAAAGCTCTTGCTGTTGTGGAGAAGGAGAAGGACAGTGAGAGTGAGTTTTTCTTTTTTCGTTGATCAAAGTTTCATACTTTTGCTTTCTCTGAATCATGGGTTGTAGTCAAAATCCAACTTTTACAACTACATGATGAGAAAAAGATGGAAAGATGAAGGAACGTGAATAGTGTTTTTTAATTGTATGGCATGATCTGTTAGATGGTTTAATTGGTATTATTGCTTGAATTTCTCTTGTTGGTTATATGGATATAGTTTTTCTTTTTCATCGATAAGTTCTTGGAATTGATTTGCACTGTTGGCTCAGTTTCTATTCATTCATGTTCAAGTTTCTATGCCGTACTGCTCGGTGCTTCGTTTTGGTGCTGATTGGCTTCCATGGGAATGATTGTCGGTTGTCATGAAATTTGCAGCTTTTTGCGATTGACTTGTCTGGTTTTGGTCGGTACTACTGTAAGAGTTGGAATTTGGTGTTTGTGATTGTTCTTGATTTTTTTTTTTTTTTTTTTCTTCCCTTGGTTTTATATATGACAAAGATTGGTAATGGAAAAGGAAAGGAATAGTAATTTAAAGAGATATGAGCTCTTGGTTTGTGCTAATTCTTACTTACATACAGGGCTACGAAGTTGGTGTTGGCTGCTGCATTTTAGTATTGAAATGTTTCTTATCTGTGGTTATGTTGTTTGTGATGTTGTGATCTTGTTTTCCCGTGTTCCATTAAGGATTCTTTAGGTGGGTCATTAATTTGATTTAATCCTTTGAGAGCATTTAAAGAAGAGAATGTAAATTATAAGAATAATTTCCTCACTTATTTGATTTACTTCTCTGTTTCATGGCTCTCCCCATTAGAGTTATCTTCTAGGGGGGGTAAAAAGGTTTCTTTTCAATGATTAGATGTGAGTATGCCTGTTTTTTTTTTTTGTTTTTCATGTTTCTTTTCTTTCTTTTTTCGAGTAACCTCAACCTTTCCATTCTTTTGGCTTTCAAAGTTGGCTCCACCCATTTTTTTTTATTTAATTGCTTAGTTTTAGAAGCTAATTGTTTATCTCACTTAGCTGTAATAGTTGTTTCTCCTCTGTCAAGCTAACTGAACTGTTTTTGTGGCAGTATTCTCTTCGTTCTTCTCTTCTAATAATTTATACATTTTCTCTAACAAGGATCCACTGTTTACTAAGCAATTATCTTTCAACAAAAGCCATGTCAATAATATTCCTTGGTCTATATCCTTAATGTTCAATGTTTACACTGGCCCAGTAAAAAATCAGGTCCCCTCCAAGTTTATATCATAAAACACTGTCTCAAACTAATGGTTGTGAGAGAGAAAGGTTTGTTCTTTTCCCACCTTTGGTTAATGATGCTTTGATTAACAGGAAAAGTTATTCCAAATTTGTTTCTTTTTTCCAAGCTGGTTTTTCTTTTAATTTAAAGAACATAATGAAGAAAGTGCTCACCTTAATTAGAATCTGATAATAAAGTCCAACCTGCAATCTTTAACATTAATGCAATTTTACCTTTGAGATCATTGCCTTTCTTGACCATTTTTCTTTTTGTCTACAGAGACCCCACCAGAACCTGTAAAAAAGAAGGTCTCAGGTGGATCCCTTGATAGAGGTTAGTGTTAGACTTCTTCATATTCTTGTTTATTTTTTAATTTTTTATTTGATTATATAGTAATTTACACATAATATATGGTGCTTTTTGTTTTATAACTGCTTGAATTAGTCAATTTGAGATGAACCATCTTAGTTTTCCTAGACTTCATGGCAAATAGACATGAATTGGATTTCTAGTTTGATACTTCGCTGTTTATATTTATGTAAGTATGGTGTGTCTTATACTAACTTAAATGTTTAAGAATCCTCTTTTCCAAAACAGGCTTGCTAGAGATGATTGTGTGACCTTATTTAATTTTTCTCATGGATAGCAGTATCTCTCATTAACAAATGACTGATGCATTCTATTCTGTTGAACAGATATGCTCTTGAACGCAGAAATAGAGAAAGAGAAAAGGTTTGTCTGAAATGTGAAGGCATGGGAAGAAAGTGAAAAATATCCCAAAGCAGAGAATAAGTGAGCCTTTATTTTAAGGTTCATTTTTGCACTTTAATACCATTACAAGCATAAAAGTGAAACCAAGTGACCCAAATTGCAAAAAGAAAAAAAGAAAAATTGAGAAGATCTAGATAATTTTCACAGTGTTGAAACGGTTAGCATGGCAACACTAACCACTTCATAATTTCATATATGATTCAAGATTAATTATTGAGAGCTTTATATTTAAGATGATTGTAGCGTGTTAGGCAATATGTCATAGGAAAGGAATATTTCTTTTTCTATTCAAAAATTTAATAGTGTCATTTTGAGGATCTTTTTTATAAGGCTTGTGTTTCTTATGTTCAGTTTTTTTCTTAGATACTAATAGAATTTTTTCCTGATATGTTAACAGAGCCCAAAGCAGCTCTCTGCTGTGTGCTGCTTGGGAAAACAGCAAGAAAGCAGCTCTTGAAAGCTCAGCTGAGAAAAATTGAGGTAATACTGTGTTGTTCAGCTATTAGTTTTTAACACTATGACTTTGAATTTTTCTACTATTAATGATATCATGATGCATGTTGTTGCACTCGCAGCACATAATAAAACTCTTTTTTTAAATCTGTAACTTTTATTTTTTAAAAAACATATCAAGAATAAAAAGGAAGAACATAAGGTTAAGAATTTATTGGCTGTCCTAATGTACATAGAAAATGAATGTCACTTTGAATACCAATACTAACCTATGACCTAGAGTTTTTAAACTGAGTCTTTGAGTCCCGTTTTTTTTTTTTTTTTTATTTTTTTTCCACTGTTGTTTAACTTTTGAATTTTGTCGTTTTTTACTCAACGTGAAACTAGACTTATTCAGATTTTTTTTTTTTTTGGAAAAAAAACCATATCCTACAGTAAGATTTTTTATCCCAAACAAATTCCTCTATTTCTTCACTCACTACTAGACATGTGGAATCTTTTAAATATCTCCAATTTGCTCTCTTTTCCGGCTTTTGTCAAACACATGGTATCAAATACCAATGGCCGTCCCTAATCGAATCCTTTTACATAAATAATCATGCTTTTTTAAATGAAATGAGCAACTACAAAAAGTCTGGAAATTGTACAAAAGTTCATATAACTTTTTTTATAGATAGAATTGGGGCCATTCCATGTCATAGGTTTTGTCCTATCTTTTTTCAATCATAGAAATAACAAAGTGTCCCTCAAAAACTCCAAATTGACAGCACAAGTTTTACACATGGGTTTTCTCTTTCTCCCTTTCGGAAAGGGAACCCCATGTTTCCTTCCATTCAAATGATCAAAGTGAAAGCAGAAACATTTTCACACAATTATTTACGAGTTTAATTTTGAGACAAGTTAATTAATTAAATTTTTCTCTAAATATCACTGAATAAATCATTTCAAAAGTCAACAATTTAACTATTTCTGATAAATTATGATGGGGGTAGACTAAACTTTTAAGGTGATAAATTCTAAGAATTGTAATTCTTATAAATGGCTAAAATTGGTTTGATTGGTCAAATATATTTTTCACAATATTTGAATGAACTTTCTAAGAATTAAAGAGTAATGTATTATTTTTATCACATAAATTATTTGATAAGAATAAGATAATATTTTTTTTTTACAAAGTAAAACTTTTATTTTAATCTAAGAAATGCAGATTCTCATTTTTACGCATAAAAGTGATTTTGTAAAAAACTTGACTAACAACCAAACCATTCTTAGAAGAAAAAAAACATCATTTTCCGACAGGTTTTCTTTTTAAAATCTTAATCAAACATGGTAAATGAAGTAGGTTTACAAAAACATAGAAGCATTCAGGAGTATTATCACATTAAACTTTTTAACACTCTTATCATGTCTAAGCAGGAACAATTAGAGAAAAAGAAAGCAGAATATGCTGAAAAAATGAAAAACAAGATAGCCTTAGTTCACAAGCAAGCAGAGGAGAAGAGAGGAATGGTTATAGCCAATCGTGGGGAAGAATTTCTGAATGCTGAGGAAGCAGCTGCAAAATATCGTGCAACTGGAACCACTCCAAAGAAGGCCTTTGGATGCTTTTAATTTTCATTTTTGTTTTGTTTTTTGGGTCTGATCATGTCCTAGCAATTATTAAATTTTGTCTATAATTTTTCTTGTTTGCTTTCAAATGTCGTTTGTGTGTAAGAAATGGAAAAAGGTAACATTATGAAAGTTTGTGCAACAGATCTTCTGCCAAGATGAAATGTTACATGCTCTTTATTCATTGTTCCATGAAGTCTTTAAATAGTGTAAACATTACACCATCAAATCATAAACCACCAATGAATCAACAATGTTAACGAAAACATTGATGTCTTTTTCAACATGTATCTGAGAAATTTATAGAAACCATATTGAGCAAAGAACTAGCTTACACAGCATATCCATTAAACTCTACGCAATGTCATTAGTTACTAGTTTGTCTTCTGATATACCAAGTCTACAAAATAGAGAATAAAAACCTACATGTCAGCATATCAACATGATACATGCACTTAAGGGTTGGTGTCTCATTCTAAGAAGCTCATGTCATTGTTTATAGGGAAGTCTAACAAGAGCTGCAATGAAGTGTCACACGAGTCTTCTTCTAGTTCACTGGAGCTTGATGAATCAGAGGCTATTTTCTTGCTACCACCCCACACCAAATCCTCTTTCACAATGCTTGTAGGGTTGGAAGCCAAATCTGTGGTGGTGGTAGCAGACAATGACCCTAGAGAAATGGGACTTTGGCAGCTACCTTTGTTGTCTGATTTGTGCACACCACGAAAAGATTGTCCAACTTCAGAGTTCCACATTCTGAGGAAGTAGTCAGAGTCAGTTTTGTTGAAGTTGTTGAACAAATAGGGCTCCCTTGAGAGCCTGGCCTCTGCTTCAAGCCTTGCACTCTCCCACTGGGCCATGTGGCGGGTTGAGGTGGATGCTGCATGGGCCTTGCCATCAGGGTTGCATGAAGAGGAGAGTGGCTGGTGGGTTTGAGGGTCTAGGCCCATGCAAATGAGACGTTTCTTCAAATGGGTGTTCCATAAGTTCTTGATCTCATTGTCTGTTCTTCCTGGTAGCTGAGAGGCTATAGCAGCCCACCTGTGAATTGGTTCGTTTGTTGAAAATTGTACCAATGAAATTTGTATAAACGGTTTGCAACAGTTATGATATGCATCAATATCTATGATAATTTCTAAAAAAGAATGTATAACTATAGATATGTGAAAATCTTATATTATCTAATAATTTCTCTGAAATAAGTACATGTATTTGTTATTAACTACAATGAAATTTGAAAATAACAATAGCCTCTAATTATCTTTTACTGCTGCACATATGCAGATGGTCCAATATGTCTTTCATTTGGTTGAAGAAATAAAAGCATGTAAAATAGTCTTAACAAAGGACAACTGGTAAGTAAGGAATTTAGTATACTGCTTTTGTTAATATTAATCTATGTTTTAACATGTTTTTTGTCATTAAAATTTAGTTTTATGGATTCATTTGACTAATCAAATGTACATTCAAGAACTAATTTGATTGACTTCTTAGGAGTAAAAATAATTTAGGCTTTAATTCTAACAAGACTGCATATTTCATTTATAGGACAAGTTTTCTGGTTGCAAACAAGCTTGATAATTACACAAGAATTTATCATTTTATTTTTATGTAAACATAGCAGCATGAAGTTTGGATATTCTTTTAGAACTGTTTGGTGGAAGAGAAAGACACTAACATTCAGTAACATCAATTTGTCACCTAAACTAAACCTTGTGTCTTTCGTTCCTCATTTCACAGTGCAAAGAGAACAACAACATGGTATTTTAAACACAGCATGTCAAAACTTTCAATTCCAAAAAATCTGCCATTAATTGAGTTTTGGCCTAAATATACACTTCTTTAAGGAGGCAAGTGTAACTTGAAAGAAAACATTGTTCATAACGTAATTCTGTGTCTCATTTAGTCAGCATTAAGTACCTATTTCCAAGGATACCATGAAGCTGTATGATTAGTTTTTCTTCCTCAAAAGTGAAGGAACCACGTTTAATATCTGGTCTGAGGTAGTTGGTCCATCTTAGCCTACAACTCTTGCCACAACGAAGAACCTGAAAAAGTGAGAGTTAAAAGGTAAGTTATGTGGCCAATACAAAACAAATTTCCATGTAAAGAAAAGCCTCCAAATGCAGAGTGATTTGGCACTTGCCTACATATGTGTAGCAAACCTTATAAAATGAAGGCTAAGTTTTCGGTTAAGAACACAAAAAGAACAAGAAGAATCAACAGAAACTATTTAGGAAAACAAAATGGACATTAACGTACATTCTATAACTAATTAAACTTGACTTGAGTACATATTTCAGTCATATTCATTGCTTAAAAGCATAGTCTTTAAGAGGAAAGTAAAAAAATTAAGATTTTGTAAGACATGGTAGAAAGGAAAAACAAACAGAAAAAACCTCAATAGATATAATAAAACCATTTGAAGTTATATGCAATGCTTTACAACTACAAACAAATTTATAACAAAGGGAAAACTTTCCCCTTCCCGATTCAACAAACTTTGTTCAATAACAAGTTTAGGAGGGTCAAATAAAAACACCTGTTACAGCAGATTTCAAAGAAAAACACAAACTAACTAATAAATAGCTGCAGATTTTTTTTAAAAAGAAGCTAAATTAATGCAAGAAACATTGCCTTCAATAAACAGAAAAGTACATTTTGAATTAGTGCAACACACATGAGGGAAACCCTCTGATTCAAGAAAGAAAAGTTGATTGTTGAAGTATAGTTTCCAAAACAAAACCAGCAAAAATCAGTTTTCCCTGAACGCAATAAGAGTAGAAAAGAAAAGGGCATGAAAACTGCCTAACTTGAAGAACACGCCAACTTCCCATGGCCACCAATTTTTCTTGTTTGAATATAATTTGACAAGAATCTTCATCCTTCAGCAGTTCCAAGGACCCTTCTTCATAACCCATCTTTGTCACAACAGGTTTTCTTCCCAATCGCTTACGCACAACACACCACCCCAAAGTAAAATCATCACACATAAAAACCAAAACCAACATTCATAATAAACCAGACAAAAACAACAGCATATGTTTTCTCTTTAATTTCTCATTCCCACACACAACAAACCACACAAACACCTTCAAGTGAGTGATGAGATCCCTGTACTACATACACACTTTTAAAGGCCCGGGAAGTGCTATGACATAAATTTGGAAGGATTTAATAATAAAGAAATGTGTATGATTTATGGCTATTTTTGAGGAGACAGGTATTTATTGATTGGGCCTTTGCAAGACTATAGGCGGACTTCAAGCTGGCTTTAATTGCAATAAATGGCTCAGTAATTCAGAACTTGAATCATAGTCTGCTCATATTTCATTCATATTTATGCAATCACACATTTGTCCCTTATATTATTTATTTTCTTGCTTTTTTTTCAAATGTTTTGTTGTGATTTGAGAAGAAGATATTTTATTTGTGAGTGATTCAGTATCAGATGAATGAATCCATAACAACTTAATTCAACAATGTATTGCATAACCTATAAGTTGCAAGATCATCTTTATCTCTCTTGCTACAAAGGCCAAGAAATAGTTTTTAAGTTGGTTTGAGTTTTGATTAATTAATTAAGTTTAACTTGTATAATATATACAAATAATTGGTGCCTAAGTAAGAGGATTCACCTAAAGAACATGCAATGTTTGGATGGTGAAAAATCATTATATCTATATAAAAATATTTGACATAATTTATTATCTGAATAATTTTTAAATTGAAAATATTAAAGACACAGTGACACATAAAATAGGAAAAATAAGAGATGCATGATAAAGGAGGAAAAGGGTGTGTTGGGTTGAATAGAGGTTTTTTGATTTGCACATAAATGGAATGACAGAGAAAATGGGAAGCAATGAAGAGGATGGTGATTGCATTAGTTAGAGAATGAAAAAGAAAAAGAAAAAAATAAAGATTGAGGCAATG